CAACCGGGGTTTTGTGTAGCGGTTTCGGCCATTACACAGTATTATGAATAATTAGGGTTTCTTTAAACGGGCAGTTAACATGAACAGTTATTTTCATTCGAAATGGTATGTTTTGGCATCGTGCGGTGTAAACGAGAATATAAACACAAATGGCTCAGCATTTCATGTGTTAAAAAATTTTAGAAAAAAGTTACAATGATTCTGCGAATATCATTATCTGGATTCAAATACCAAAACCTACATTTGCAACATTTAAAAACTACAAAATTTCGAACCTTTGAGGCTGTTTTCTCGCATAAGTCTACGAAAGTGAATACTTGAGCAGAAGTTGGAATTCATGTAAGTATCTACACGCGTTGTTGAGGTTACTTTTCTTATTTGTTTGACAGTAACATCAGATTAAGTCTCCGAGAAGCAAAGGCTGCGTCTTTTGGTGGCTTAGGCTTTTATCACTTCAAAGATGATACTATGAAGCTACACATCTATGGGCCCATTTTGAAGGAGAAAACCCTAATGGACGGAGCCAAGATTCCACTTCCACCAGTCTCTTGGAAGGACTTTCGGCTCGACAGCATTATAAGTGCGCCCATGCCGCAAGGATTACATACATTTACAAAACCTATGCCTCTCTGAGATTCGAATCCTGACCACCGGCTATGGTAGTGCCTCCCCCACCACCATGCGAACTGGACAACTTCTATATTTGTGCAAATTATGAATTAAGTTGACAGAGAATATACATACCATTAAAACGTAAATTGTGAGAATAGCATAAAAACGCCAAGCGAAAGAAAAAAAAAAAAAAAATAACAGCCTAAAATACGAAACGAAATACATAACTTTTCTTGTTAATCATGATTTTGTTAACTTAATACATTTACATTTTTATAAAACTGTTGGCAGTCTCTAAATATGTTTTTCTCAAATACGTCCCCCCTTTTTTCATTATCTATTAAGTGTAAATATTTGAAACTTTCGAAATATGTATGTCCTATACTGTTGAACAATTTACCGCTTGATTTTCTGACCCAAAAGCTGAAAAGATGAAGCATTATTTGGCTGACGGACTGGTTTTTATTAGCCTGCTGGATTATAATTTAATAGCAAAAAATAATATATAAAGTTATTGAAGTCTACGTTTATTCAGTATACAGCTGTTGATATTGAGATTCGTCACCACTATCAGGACCCCCATCCATTAGTTGGACTTCATCTGTGTGCCCCTTAAAGTACACAATATCCTAAGGTGCAGTTTCCCTAAATACACTCTTAAGCGCCGTTCCCACTGGGGTTTCTCTGAGCTAACGGAGTCGGTTCCATGTGTCGACTAGCTCCGCTGTACCTGCAATTCAGATTTTTCAACTTGCTGCCCTATGGGAAAAAACTGGTTTTGGAGATGGGTCGACTACGTTAGTTGTGTTCATTAACTCAGATAAATTCGAGTGAGAATGGCCCTTTATACGTCAATTTTTACTGTACACAGTCTTGTCCTAAAGGTTTTTTTTCGTGGTTCCTTATCTTTCGGTTAAAGGTAACTTCGTAGCAAAACTACTCAGGGGGGGGGAGGGAAAGCTCCTTTGTTAGGAACTAGAAGCGATATCAATTGAAACCTTCATACCTCTAATGTTTATTAATTAACGGGGGCAGGCGTAATTGCTGTAAATCTCAAATGGAATTCGAGACATTTCAGGTTTTTAAAGAGACAATTGAAAGAAGGTCTTGGTACAGTCAAAAGTCGTTAATTCGGACACCCATAATCCGGCATGATCTATAATCCGGACCTCAAAGATAAAATCTTTCTGCGCATGCGTCAACGCGCCGCGTTGACGCATGTGCATAGGCGTTTTACGCGTGCGCGCAAGACATTTACGACTGCGCATATGCTTCTGCGACGTTTTCGCGTGCGCGTTTAATGTATAACGGACGGTATAAGCTAAAATTATCTAATTATCTATTTCACTTAATGTTGATGATTGCGTTGTTCCTTAATTTTCGAATTGGATCCGGCTTATTATTTTTTGCAGACTGTATGAGCAATTTTATAAAAGTAAGCTTGAACTTTCGATTATGTCAAATAGAATTTCCGATGCTGGAGTTCCCAAAGGATCTAGAAAACGAAAGTATGCGTCGATGTCCATCAAACAAAAAACGAATTGCTACAAAAAATGGATAAAGGCATATCCTTTGTTTATCTAACCGTTCCAAAATCTGTTTATCAATTTCACGCTGCTCTGCGCGGAGGGGGGGGGACGTTGCGGCGCACAATGAACTGGAAGTTGATCTGTCAGCACTATCGTTATCTTCAGAGCAGATGTTTTTATTTTATTCGGCTTATAATTCCTTACTAAATGTAGCATTTAATTTCGATGTACTCCATCTTTGATATGATTTAAATCAAATTCCTCGTCATTATAAATGTCACGAATACAAATCAAATAGTTTTCTGGTTGCAATTTTCTAATTTCGGCTATGCGTAAGGTATGCTTTACGCATGCGCACGTTGAAAGAAATGTTTAAAGTAAACAAATAAATATTAAGCTTCTTTTTTTGTAAATTTTGATACCCTTTAGATCATAATTGCTCATTATTTTATAAATTACGGTTTCATATTTTCAATTTTATAATTTCTGCATGCCATCTTACCAGATTTAAACTGATGATCTATAATCCGGAAAAATCGATAATCCGGAATCGCCGAAGTCCCTACGAGTCCGGATTAAAGACTTTTGACTGTATTCTAAGATTTAACACGCAAGCCGCGTATGCGTTACCGACTGTCTTTCACACTTGGTTTCGCTCGCTACCATTGGCGTTTCCGTTGGCGCTGGTGCCACCGTTGTATACAAAGTATCCAGATTTTAGCCACAAAAGTTTTACAGAAAAAATGCACCTTGTACGCCGGGAAATACGGTTATTGAATATTGCAAAATACATAAGGTTACTTGTTTTAGGTGGAAAGTTTTTTCATAGAGCTTTTAACTGGAAAACTCCTTCACACTTATATAGCATACAAAGAAAATCATGAAAATCTCAATATCAACAGCTCTTTCAATCACAGCAAACAAAACAGACTTCTTATTTATTCAACTACCATGGATTTTAAATGTAGTTATTGGATAAATGTACATACTGGTTATTCGAAAAAAAAAAAAAAAAAAAAAAAATGGTTACAAGCTCTAGTTCCTAAAGCATCAATCTTAGCTAGTATGTTTTTCTAATTGCAAAGCTTCTCAAAATAAGAGAAAAGAGTTTAAACGCTGCAGAGAGGTGAGAAATCTTTTTAATACGAAACATAATTTTTTGTATGATCCCCATACAGCAAAAAGCCCAATTAGTAAAATGTTCATTGTGCTTTCGTAAGTTAAATATGAAAAATTCCATACTTTAACATACAGTATGTTATTGCATGGAATGTTTGTGTTTAACTTGAAGAGCTTGATTTTATAGATTTAGATCACTTTTCATTGCATATTACGGAGTAAATCTGAATATTATTCACTTAAAATTTAAAAGAAACTAAACAAAAGTTGCTCGTTTGGAGCATCAGTGGTTCAATATTAAGTGAAATAACTCTCGCTATTAATTCCATAAATATATGCATGAAACTATCAACTAAAAAAACTCTTGTTAATTTTGTACATAAATGAATGGAACAATTTAATTTATCAAAGCAAGCACATTAACATCGATTCCCGGCAAAGGCGGTTGCGTATTTTTCATCTTTTCTGCTTCCAATTAACCTAATGACTCTACAATATGCTAAAAATAGATTTTGTTAAATATACTCATAGGCCAAAAGATTACATTTAGTGTTATTTTAATTAAGAAAAACTGATTTGTTATTCACATAAACCCAGAACCAGTGCCATGGCTCGTATAGTCGCACCAGGCGGCTGAATTTTGGGAAGACAAAGGGGGGCGCTTAGTAACAGAATTTAGGACCCACAGAGATTGCATCAGGTGGTAAGATATCTAGTGCCGGCCCTCAATCAGCCTTTAAGTATATGTGGGAATTTATTTATTCAGGACTCAGATATGCCTTAAGCATGTGCAAGAAACAGACATAAGTATAATAAATAACTAATACAATTCAGGCTTGTCTCATTGGGCGATTGAAGCTAGATAAAATTTAGCGGAACAACTTGTCATTAGTCGCCAATCTCACGATACATAGCCAAATATGTACAGTGAACAATAGCTAAATTTTCTGATGATAGCCGTAAACTTTAAAGGATTTCGGATATCGCAAACCAAAGGTGAAATTTTCTAATTAACGGATTTTGTAAAGAAATGTGGAGAAGCGGTAATAAATAAGATGATATAAAAGAAGTTTTTCATTGTGATGAAAATGCTCCTCAATCCTCAATCTATTAATGGATGGTGAAATCTGCAGTATCGTTCTAGATCCAGAAAAAACCGCTACCGATAATGAAGAAAGTGTCAGAAAGGTTACTGAAAACGATAAATTTTGATTCAAAAGTTAGTCGGAATTCTCGACACAGCAATTACAGGACTTCAACAATGTAACTAAACAAGAAATTATGTCTGTCTACAGAATTAAAGATAATAAACAATTTACACTGAAAAATTGTTTAATAAATTAAACAAATAAATATCAAACTTTAACTTTTATTTTATAATTTCTACATACCATCTTACTAGATTTAAACTGATGATCTAATATCCGGAAAAATCCCAAATCCAGAATCGCATAAATCCCGACGAGTCCAGATCTCGGACTTTGTACTGTAATACTTTTTTAATCATTTCTACATGGTATCTTACCGGATTTAAAAATTAAAATACTTCCGAAAACAGGAAATCTTGGATTTTGAACTGTGTACACACATACACACACAAAAAAAATTTTATATCCCTCCCACGTTCAATCTCAAAACAACATAAATAAAAGAACTGTCTTTCAAATGCTTATACTTTTCCTAGATGGTTTTATAATCAAAATTTTAAACAAAATTCAGAAATTATACCAAATTACTCACACTAGCGCTGTTAACACAGGTATAGTAAGCATAACTAAGAGGATGTATTTTGTATCCAGGACAAAATGCAAACTGGCATATGACAGAGCACCAAAAACACCAGCGCCACCTGCAAACAAGTATTATTTTGTTAAATAAAGCACAAATAATTCTTGTATTAAACTATCATAAAGTTTAACAGTTAGAAGGGAAAGGTTTGGTGTGACATTTGGAGGTAGTCTGAGAGGGTTCAGCTTTGTAGATATGGCATAATGAAAGAAGAAACAGAAACATACAATCAAGAAGATACTAAACAAATAAAATAATTATTCTCATGAGTAGTCCATACACTACTGCAGTGTTCTGTGTCATAAAAAGAATACTATAACTTCAACAGATAAATCATAGTGCTTCGCTATTGCTTACAGAAAGTTAAATAGCATAATTAAATATCTACTAGTTTACCCCCTACTCAAAATACAAGAAATAATTAGGAAAAATTAGGTCGACAAAGTATGTGACCAGATTTTACGTTACAAGGTATTTTATATAAGCTTGAAGCCTGAGGGCATAGCAAAAACAGGATTTTGACAAAAATCAAAGGTGTTTCTAAGATTGCCAATGACGTTATGCGGAGCTCCCATGGGCCATGAACATAATTTTGAGGCCCAATTGTAATTAAAATTTGCCCAGTTATTAAAATTTACCCGACTTCAGCAAGGAATCAGGGTCGTTTTCGGGTTTGTATTTAAATAAAAGGACGTTCATAAAAGACTTCCAGAAACCTGCACAGATCTTGTTGAATTTTAACGGAAAAACAACAACAACAAAAAAAAATTGTTTGGTCAGCGGAGGTGAACATTGTTTTCCAGAAGCTTTTAATTCAAGCTGCTTGAAATTTCCCGACATGGGGAAAAAATTGGAAACAGTAGTAGATGCTTCCTGAATTTGCGATAATAGCCGTGCGTATGCAGGAGGTGGTAAGCTGGTTACATATTTTAGTAAAACTAAAGTCAAAGGAATTACACAAATTATTACACTAGACAGACACTAAGGATCCTGTTAACTGTTCATCAGTTAGGGATATATTTTGCAAAGAGCCAGCAACACAGTATAGGGACCATGCCACGATCATTCGCCTATATTTGGGGAAGAACTTATCACCAACCAAGACTTAGGTGAGACCTCGGATTGCAGGAGCATAGTTTAAAGATTAAACACACACTTGAAAGAGAAATAAAGTAATTAAGAATTTGAAAACAAATCCCGAGTTTAAAAATATTTAAACGTACTTAAAGGATCCCAATAATTTTAAGCACTTGATATCAATGGAAATTAAAACAGAGCAGTGAAATACGAAATATCGATCACCTTTTGTTTTACACGAGGGCCACAAATAAAAACACAGAATTTCGACCGGTTGTGTCAGAGAAGCTAAGATTAAGTATATTCAGCGAGTTACATAATGATTCATCATCAAGCCAGCTAGGTGTGTGAGAAAGTGCGCTATACGTGAAGGAAGCAGTTTGTTTTTCTCAGCTACAAAAAATGTGTCACACAATATGTCAAGTCTTGAGGAACTCGCCAGTTAATTAACGATATCAGTTACAGTCCGGGAGGATATTTAACTGGCATAAAAGCAAGTTATAACAGTAACATGTTTTGAGCTGATTTCTTAGGACTACATCCTTGAAGTGAAGTAAATAAAAATCAAATTTTGCTGCACTTTGTCAACAACTTCTCAAAATGGTTAGAAGTAGTAGTTCCCTTAGGATGGGCTTCCTTGAAAGCTGTTTCACACTCATTTAACTTTACCTAAAACATGGAGCTTAATTTACAGTAATATCCGATAACAGTCCACAATTAGAGAGCCAGATACCACACTGACAAAATATGCTACAAATTCCCCAAGAATTAAAGTCAGAAACATAATCTTTAAGAATCAAACCATGCATTTTAACGATAAGCGAGTAAACGACATAAAAATTGAACTTCTGGAGAATCCGTGCAATTTTGCAACTAACAGAAGGATGAAATGGAAGCATGACAAGGTTCTGTATTTCTGTCAGTAGAATGTCTTCTGTAATGGTAAGAGGAAAATGTTTTAAAGCCTTCATCAATGACCACAGGAGAAAATCCTTGGTCAGTCACAACTGATCTCAAATAACAGAGTTCATTAGCAAGTAAGGGTTCTGAGCTACAAACATTGAAAGCAAGAAATACATAATAGTAAAAAGAAGCCATTTTTTGCCTAGTCTGATAAGTCTGATAAGAGGAGGCAAACAATCTGTTAACACAAAAGTTATAAAAATATATAACAGGTGCGATTGTCAGATTTGCACAGTGTTAAATGAGTGTTAATGTCAGTGTTAAAAATCTGTTGGCATTTTTTTCACCTTGAAACATTTCTCATAGAAAGCAACTTAAAAGCACTCGGCACAACATATTTATTACATGATGGTCTTATAATTAACAAGCGAGTTTAAGAATTCTTTTATAAATAACTTAAGTACATTATTAAATATGGCAAAAATGACTCACATAGGGCATAGAGAGTACACAGTTCTAGTGGTACACTCACAGACATTAGAATACAAAAATATGCATGTCCTGCTAATTAGAGAAAATTTATAGCAGTGATATTAACAATCTATGATAATCAAGAATCTTTCATTATAAGCATTGTAAATTTTTGAAAGATGCAATAAAAGACTTGTTTTCTATCCATCACCCAAAGAACAAATTATTACAGAAATAAAATCAAAACATACAACTTAACATCTAAAACAGTATTGCTAAACATATATAAACAGAAAGCTTTTGCTGCTCACCTGTCCCAGAAGACCATGTAGATACAACATCCCTACAGAAATACAGAAATTGCAATGACTATAAAAATATCACAAAAGAGCAAATATAACAACAAAAAAATCACCATTTTCATTCAAAATCCAGTTTGTACTTACTTTTCAAAAAAGGAAGAATAAGACAGAAACGTCACTTCCCCTAAACCGCTAGATAAAGCAGCACATATAACACCTAAAGGGAGGAAGTAAAAGAAAAGACATTTAATCCCTTTCATTGTTACAAAACGAGTAAATGGAACTGCATTTAATATAACGCTTCATATTTCTATACAGCGCAGCTAGTTATTTGACCCAAAATAAAAATTTCAATTTCTAAGCAGTGATATAAAAGCTAAACAGAGTATAGATTACAGAAAAATATCCCTTAGATAAATAAAATACAACTTTTAGCATGAAAACCTGGTAACTAACTTAGGCATAATATTTAGATAAAAGGGAAAATTTTTTTTTAAATTTCCAACGGCAGATTGTGAACAGTTACAGCAAAATGCAAGAACAAAGAACACAGAATACAGCAACACAATATAAAAAATAATAATAATAAAAAAAACTGTAACAGATTAACCTTACATATCTCTTGCCACCCAGTCTTGCGCACAGCAAGACAGTAGAGAAGATGTGCGGTGTCCATCACCTCTCCAAGCTGTACAGAGTGCATATCCCAGAAGGAACAATTTTGAATCTATGGAGATGATATCGTAGGCAGTCAACTCCGGTGGCTAGGCGGAATTCAGCGCCTGCTCTACGCCTGGGGCCATTACACAAATTCAGATAGCATTCCTCCAAGACTTATGAGAAACACGATGATAGAGATCTTCCTAAGCACGTACTTTGAAAGATCTTTTAATAAGATCCCTAACAATATGGAAAGGCTTAGGACAAATATTCTGCATGATTAAAGCACCCTTTTTTGCCAGGAAGTCCTTTTTCTTGTTACCAGGAACCCCACAGTGAGCAGGAACCCACTGGAGAACTATAGTTTTCTCAAATGATGCCAGGTTTTTTTTAGATAATGTCCACAATCCAATACATCCTCTGATATGGGATTTTTATCTGAAACAATAGCCAACAGAGCACTTCGGGAATCACTGATGATAACGGCTCTTGTGACTTTTTCCATGTGGCATGGCAGCTGGTACAGAGCTGTGCAAATCGCAGCAATTTCACCATCAAATGCAGAACCTCGGCCCACAGGGATGTAGAAAGAGAAACCACTCCTTCCTTGAGTTCTTTGAACTCCAATTTTTACATTTAAAACCGTTAGAAGACTGTAAGGTATATTTTAATTTTATAACAGTTATTTTAAGTTTATAGTACTATTCTATCTCTTCTAGTTTCAGCTTACAATTCCTTACCAGAATAAGATTTTAGAATCACGTTAAATGCAAATGAGAAGTCGAAAGTATTTAAGTCAAAGTTCCACTGACTTCACCAGAGAGAGTTACGATTCCTGAATAGCGCGCATTTGCCTTTTAGCTACATCTCCCTAATTGTTACTACGCTCGGTCGTATTACGTGCCTTTTGATAGCTTCGCTGGCTAATTTTATATCATCGGCCAACTAGCTTAGAACTGTATTAGCTTCAGCTAAATCTCTTTTAGTTAATCATTAGTTAGTTGTTATTTCTGACATTTTGAGTTTTGGCCCAAGTGGGAGCTTTGTAAAAAAGAAAAAAAAAAAAAAAAAACTATTGTCTCTACAGAGTAATTAACCTTTCTTGAGTTTATGTTTCTGTTTTTGGACTTAAGCAATTATTCGCTTAGTAGTTCACTAGGTTTCTCGACATTACATTTAATAATATCAAAGTGAGGAACCCTATAAGATAATGATAAAGTCTGAAATAGCAACCAGTACTATTTCAGAGAATCATTGATATTTCCTGATCGAGAAAAGGCTGATCATAAGAAAGAAACTGTCGAGGATATCAAGAAGGCACTACAGTTAGAAATTCTCTTTATAGCTAATTACTTAGCCAAAAATTTAATCTCAGGACTCTGCATAAGAGCAGCAGAAGACTGGGCATATTGTATCCTTGACATGCTTTTCATCTATCATATATTACCCAATGGAAATACTTTACCTGATTTGCTCTTACAACTCATTTCCCACACTACGATAATGGAGGCTACGCTGGTATGGCATTTGTGAATAAAGATATGTTCTCACTAGGACATTTCCAGATTCATGTTAAACATTCAAATTTAGACAAAAGCTAGGTTTATCACTAAAAATAACCCAATATCATTCTATTTAAAAATAGGTAAGTCAAAAGAGATTAAGATTAAGATTATTAAAACAGATTGTAAAATTTCAGGTCATAGTCAAAACAGAATTTATTAGCAGAAGTTCAAACAATCATACAAAATATTCAACAAATTAAGAAATACACACCATACAATTTTAAAAATATGATTCTGTACCAGTTATGTAATGTTAGAAACATCTTTTTATCAGTTACAATAAATACTCATTTTAAATTACCAGTTGGACATATTATAAATCAAATGCATTTTAACTTAACACCAATTAGCTACATTATTAAAAAGAAATATTATAACTATTAAGAAGTACATTTTTTGGTTTTAAAATTGCTTGCACTTATTACTTTTGAAACATAAATTGAAGAACTTATACTCTGCTGAATGGCAGACTGAGATTCCATTATACATGAAGGAGAGTGGAAGCTAAATTATAGATGATATGTTTCATGCAATGACAGTCGTTGGCAAGGGCTGCTTCTAGCTTCTTTCAACTCTTCAGTTTTGAAAGCACGATAGCATCAGTGGATTTTATTTTACCTGGATAGGTTTTTATACTTTAAGTAACTTCTTAAGAGTCTCCAAGGTACAGTTCTTACGAGTGTATATAAAAGATCTATAGAGAGAAAAATCTTGTATGCATGTAGCACATGGTGGACTGGATTGTTTCGAATGTGAAACAAAATTTTGCGAATTCAAAGAATTGCTCTCTTGGGGATTATCAAGTGTTTTAGAACTGTTTCAATAAATGTTTCCCGTGAAAATTTGAAAATATAACGCTGATTTTTGTTGTTTGACTTCTGAATGTATTACTTGTTGTTAATTCTATTTAAAGTTATTTTAAGCAGTAACCTGGTTGTTCTGCTTCTTATGGGCCTGATTTAGGCCTTGTTTTAGATTTCAATGTTTCTTCAATTAAATAGCTCCACTAAGTCCTGTTAAACCCCTAATGGTGGTACAGGTAGTTCAATCAGTCATATACTTTCAGTAAAAACAATGCACCTTTTAGGCGTTAGAAGAAAAGAAAGTAAAAGAATGAAACTTTGATGTGTCACTGCTGATATACTGGGTGTTTGAAAATCATTTGACACATTTCAAAATTTTGTAAAAAAAGCATACGCACTGAATAATTTTTTGGCTCAAATATTATTAACATACTACGGTAAAGTTTTGTTTTGCTGAATTGTATGGTCCAGAAATTGATAGCTAGTGTTACATGAGATGTGATGAGAAATATATGACAATTGCAATTAGTAACCATGGCATCCATACAACAGATGATCACAGTATGTGTGCATTATGGCTTGTGGAATTTAAGTCTATCATTTAAGTTAAAAGATGGCATTCAGTCAATGGTAAATTCAAATTTTGCTGCATGCACATAGGTCGAAAGAAGACGGAGCTTGGAACATGTTTTTCCACATCTCTGACAGTAACAGAATGGAAGTTATATCATTAACTAGATTGCTGTGCAGATAGGCTTCCAAAGCTTATAAAAAACCCAAACTGAAAGGTGAATTAGTGTGAACAATAATTTTGAATTCCAAAAATTAAAACTGCAGTTTTTATCCCAACAATGAGAAGCAACTGAAGACCTTTTTACTTCTTTCTTTTTCACATATCTATTGTGTTCCTTCCCCCTGAATTTAAAAGATATGCGGGTTCGCCCTACATATGCAAGACCACATCCTCAAGAAATTTTATACATTCTCTATGATTTCTTTTTTTTTACAAATGAAAAATTTAGTTTTATTGTATTTATTATTTTTTTATTTGTAAGTTTAAAGGAAATTATAGAATCATAAGATCTGAAGCATTTAGAAATGAGAAGGCTAAATTTGGGATGAATGGCAGATAAAGAATGGAATTAAAGTGCCCTTGGTTTAAAAACTTAAAACTGAAGATGTAGATCTCAGTTTTAGTTTAGTTTCTAAAGTTCAATGTCATTGATTATGGAAGGATAATCACATAACAGAACACAGAGTTCTTTTGCCAGAGTAGCAGAACTAAAGCATAAACAAAAAGCTTGATGAACAAAGGTGTGAAAAGCTGCAATGTTTTGCTTACATGGGTTGGTAAAGCAAAATGAGAAGGCAAGAAGAAAGCTAACTGTTTATGAAAGAAAAATTATGTGGAATTCTTTTTCAGATTTTGTAATGAGTATATCCAAGAAAGGGAGAAATGGAACAAAACTAATAAGTACATAAGTAAACTATATGTTATCACCTTATGTATTCAATGTAAAAACAAAATCCAGAAGATTATCAATGAACTTGTCCCACTGAACAAACATATCATCAACATACTGTACCCAAATACACAGCTTCACCATTTGTAAAATTCTAAAATTCTGCATTCAAAATGGTGCTTTCCATACGAATGTCACAGAAGATGGGAGAGAGTAAGCTACCTGAGGTAAGGTCTTATGTTTGTTGGCAAAACTGTCCACCAAAAATGGGACTTGCTTTTATGACACAGGTCTTTGTTAGTCCTATGTCCTTATTTTCCTCAAGTATTTATGCAGCTCTTTCAGTTACTAGTATGCCTATTGTACCTAATAACAGAAGCAAACAATGTCAGCCCAATATTGCCATAAGATGTAAATCAAAATGGCACAGTTACAGCTGTGATCCTATCATTTTTCAGTTTCATAGGAAGTGATAGATTATAGGCTTGATAAAACAGAACTAAGAGCATTAACATATGAAACATCTGAATGCAAAAGTTTTGATAATCAAATGCAGAGGATTTTAAAAACATTTACAATAAAAAATTTTAAATACTTACCCAAAAATGTCATCCAATTTCCCACAGATGCAGAAGTAATTATAAAGCTTAGACTGCTAAGAATAATAGCTATTGAAACACGGACACTAGAAGACACATAAAACTGAAATAAGCAAGTAATAAAACTGATACTTTTTGTCAAAGAATTCTAAACTTACAAATATTCATTCAACTAAAATTTTCTTAGTCATAAAAAATCAGATTATTTTTGCTCTATTATTGACATTTTTGCTCAAACTGTTCCGAGTCAAAAAAAGGTGAGACAGTGTAAGTAAAAAACATTAAAATTGATAAAACTGAGAAAATAAACTCAGCATTAAAAATCTTAGATGAATAAAGTAACAGAGCGCAATTTCTTCTAGCCTTTTCACACATGCTTAGCAAAGGATGAAATACATTCATTTCTTTAAAAACTGCTGATCACATACCATTTGGCAATCTTCTGAATGATTATATTGTTAAGATATAATAACACGCCGAACAAATATTAATTTAGAAGTCAAACAACAAAAATCAGCGTTATATTTTCAAATTTTCACAGAACTTAGAACTTTTTTGCAATTTTTAAGTCTGTGAAAATTTGAAAATATAACGCTGATATTTGTTGCTTGACTTCTAAATTAATGATTATATTGTATTACACCTGAGTTTCTTTCATTTCATCTTCATATATCTCATTCATACCCCTTTCAATTAAATGCACCTAACCTCATTTTGTTTTTTAAATTTATTCGAAATCATGAAATTATTTTCTTTAGAGCTCACAATATCTCGATGCTTTTCATTTCTTGAGAAAAGAAATTTAATCCTATATTTCTCCAGATTTTGCACAGAATTTATTGGTAATACTGTACATAATTGAACTCGGTTTACTTTTGTTTCAAAGGGATTAATTTAATTTTATTTTATTTTATTCGTAAACCTACTTTAAAAATTTTAAAAATCTGAACTTTTTCAAATATATAGTGTCTCAAAAAAGTGATGGGACACTTGTGCTTTACAAAAGGAAACTGCAATAAAATAAATTTAAAAAACACGTAAAATTTTTTGTGGGTGGGTTTCATACTTAAATTTAGTAACAATTATTACATAACATACATTTTCTCAAAATATTAAAATATTAATTTAATAAAAATACAATTGTTTAGAACGAAGCAGAAAATGGCTCACTTAAGTGATGGGACACTACGTACTATGCAACAAAAATCGTCTGAAGTAAGCAATAAAAATATCTTTTGGGGTATTTATTTTTACTCAAAAGCAATTGCCAATAATTTATAAAATCGTCTGCAGTATTTCTCTCCAGTTTGTTTTGGAATTTTTGTGTTTTTTAGCTCTGTGCAGCCATGAATGCTAAACGAAAAGAAAAAAACTTTGCCTGGAATTCGAAAATTAGTTATTAATTTGCATATTGAACGTGGAAAATCTATTAGAGAACTACTGAAACAGTTAACTTCAGTCATTCAACAGTTTTCAATATCATTAAACGATATAAAAAGAATCATATGATTCAGGATAAAAGAAGACCTGGCCGACCATCAAAGCTATCCAATGGAATAAAGCGAATTATCATTCGAAATATTTAAAAAAAATCCAAGAATGAGTGCTCCTAAAGTTTCTGCTGATTTACAAGCATTATATGGAGTAATTGTTAATTCTGAGACTGTTAGAAGAGTAATTCGATCTACTGGATATCACGGTAGAGCAGCCAGGAAAAAATTCTTTGTAAGTGTAAAGAATAGAAAACTCAGACTGGCTTTCGCAAAATCCAACATAAATAAGAATTCTGATTACTGGAATGAAGTTATATTTGCTGATGAGACTAAATTTAATATATTTGGTTCTTACGGTAGAATCTTGGTGAGGAGAAAACCCAGGGAAGAATTTCGCAAACAGAACTTGGTGCCAACAGTAAAACATGGTGGAGGGGAAGTTATGGTATGGGGGTGTATATCGTCTGCTGGAGTTAGTAATTTTGTTTTTATTGATAGTATAATTGATCATTACAAGTATATTGACATTTTAAATCAAAATTTGAAATCTTCAGCACGAAAATTGATCCTTCATAATGATTTTAAAAATTCTACCAGGACAATGACCCCAAGCACAGTGCTTTAGACTCTGGCTGCTGTATAACTGTCCTGAAATAATAAAAACACCCCCACAATTTCCACAATTAAATCCCATAGAGAATATTTGGCAAGAATTGGAATCAAGAATTCGCAAACACACCATTTCTTCAAAACAACAATTAAAATAGGTGCTTCAAGAAGAATGGGGTAAAATCACTCCAGAAATCACAAAAAAAATTAGTCAAATCCATCCCAAGAAGATTAAATCATGTTTTAAAAGTAAAAGGAAATCCAACAAAATATTAAAACCTTTTAAAAAGTAAAATTTTTGGATAAATATTTGATGGAAAAGTAAGTGTCCCATCACTTATGTGAGCCATTTTTTTTTATTGCAGTTTCCTTTTGTAAAGCACAAGTGTCCCATCACTTTTTTGAGACACTGTATGAATGAATTTCTCTAAACAAAAATTTTGGACTCAGTTCAATGGCACATTTAAAAAAACAAACATAATTTTGAAAGAACAATCATCGCAATTAATTTAATTAAGATACTTCACTTAAAACATTTTGGGTTTGGAAATTTAATACAATTATAATAAATGAAAGCATACTTACAGATTAGAAATATCTAATTTTAACTTTTTAAAATAATACAGAAAATATATTTATCTACACATTACACACGATTTATTCTTAGAATAAATACTAACTACTACATTTTTTGTTTTTAAAGAGCCTACTTTTAAGATAAGATTATTTTTTCCGTTTAGAACAATAGAATAGCAAAAAGGATTAAAGCAAAGGGCTTATTAATTTTACACTTTCTTGATAAGGAGGGACAGCATAGAAATTTTATGATAAAATCCTATCATTCACAACATGAAAATGGTCTCAACTGTACATGCAGAGATGACAGCAGAATGCATAGATCAGTGTGCATGTTGTATGGGGGGTTGCAAAACAGGGATGGCTGTAACTGTCTTCTTACAAAAGAAAGAGTACGTGCACATTTCATTTTAATGAATAAAATATCTTTTTTTTTAAAGGTGCCAACATCCATTTGGCTACTTCATTTGTCACTTATATACCATTTATTTTAATTTTTTAACTAATTGGAAAAAATAAAAATTAAGTTTCCATGGTCTTTTTTTTTATTTTAAATATAATTTTTTACATACACCCACACAATAACATTTTAAATACCAACATTTAAAAAAAAAAAAAAAAAAAAACTGAGAAGGTCTGCTGTTTAGAATGCATTCATTGTGAACTATGAGAACTGAGAAAAAAATCTTATATTCTGGACTATTAAAATAAAAGATCAGAATGAATTTGAAAAAGTGAATGGTACCAAATTTTACTCGAAGTTAGAAAATTTTGAGTGATGTAACTAGGAATTTTGGAAATTAATTCGACAGACATAAAAACAGAAAACTCGCAGAGCAACTTCACATTAAAAGAATTTTAATAAAAAGCCCCATATCATAAAATTAGTGTAAGCAAGAGAACTAAATGTATTCTACAACAAATTTGGGGTTTTCCACTTAAAGCATTACGTTCCAATTTGTTGATCTGTCTGATGAATAAAAGCAGCATTTTCTGAGAGCACAAGCAAGTAATTAGTTTGAATTTGAATACAGCTTGTAGGCTGCCTCCATTACCCTCCCTTAGCAGAAAAATGGGGTTATGAATAATTATAGCACGATTTATGGGATCTAGGTCTAGGTGGTAATCATACCTTGTGAGTTTGTAAGGAAATAAACGAATTATTTCATCAAAGATATAATCATTTAAAATAATAATTTAACTACAATTTCCTAAAAATTAACTATACAATACCAAAATTTACAAACTATAAGCTAGTAAGATGTAATATTTCCTTGAGTACGAATGTTTGTAAGATTGGATCGGATTGGATTATTCAATTACGGTAAAGCACACGAGGGCTATCTGCCTAAAGAGAGGGATGCCTTCGTGGAGGATTTTCTACAGGAAACTGGCTCATATACACGTTACACATGGGGTAAACCACGAAAACGCCCATGCAGCCAGCCCGTTCGTGGGATTCGAACCTCAGACTGAACTACCAGTGTTCAGCATCTTTACCACTCGGCCGCTGGTGGGCCTGAATGCTTGTAAGAATTTTGTTACAAATATTACAGGATAATATTCTAGTAAATGACACAGGAAAGCAAATGAAAACAAAAATGTTCCCATCTTTACAGCTCTTGTCTACCTGTTTTACAGCATATTTAGTCCTTTTTCTCATAAAACAAGTAAACAGAACAGTGAAAAGATAACTAGTGAAAAGGGCTGAAGAGTTCTGAAAAGAACTTTACCCTCCTTATAAAAGAGACAGTTAATCCGTTAATTCAAAATAAATGCTGGTGAGAAAATACATCATTTTTCTCGCAGTAAAATTGAACAGAACATGTGTGACACATGCTAACACAAACATTCGAAAATGTTATTCATAGGGAAATACCTACAACCATCTCTAATTTGAGATGTTAGTTGGTGGAGGTATGGTGAATAGTTGTAACTGGAAGTCAGTGCAAGTACTCTTTTGCTATCTTAAATCGATAAACATACTAAATATGTGCAGTGTTGCCAATTTAGTTTTCAATTAATTTTTAGTCATTACGTACAGAATTTTTTAATTTAGAAATTACTTCTACAACTCCAAAATTTTCTGCTACCTCAAAAATTTTCTGAAATCCCTAAATGTCCTCTTAAACTGCCAATCAGTAAATCTGCATTTAGTTCCTAATTTTTGTTCCTGTCTTTTTTATATTATGTTTGATACATTTTGCAGTTTTATTCTGCATGGAAATGGGTATCTCAAAAAGTACTATTTGTACATTAAATTTTACTACAAGCATGGCAAAAGTAATCACAAAATGCCTCAACATGCATTAGACGAAAATGCTTTACAGCAAACAGTAGTTTACAGGTGTTTCAATCTGTTTGAAAGATACCACACGTTGACTGAAAAAGATCACTGTTTTGGAGTCCTATTACTAGTATAAAACTAAAGTATAAAGCAAAATTGTGCAAAATTATCATAGAAACATAGCTCATGATATTTGCAAAACAAATGGATTGTCTTACCGTATATGTCAGAAAATTTCACAGAATAAACAGTGCAGGCGAATGGCCACCAAGTTTGCACCAACACTGCTGAAATAACAACAGAATAAGCAATACATGGAAATCTGTATGGAGTTTCAAAAATAGTTCAGAAACAATCCAGAATGTCTAGGTCGTTTTTAGAGAATAATGCGAGTTTATAAGTATGACTCACATCCAAAATGAAAACTGTCACAAAGGAAGTTCTGCAGGTCACTACATTAAAAAAAACCTTCACAGGTGAGAAGCAACACAAGCAGACGATCTCTTCAAAATTAGATGAATTATTTATAAAGAATTTCTCAGCACTCAGAGTGCAAAGGCCTCTCCTGTGATGTCTTGGTCATTCATGTAGAAGAAATATTCTTTGAAATGCTATGAAAACAACTGACTCATAATCAAAATAATGCCCCCACTTGCTCTACATGGGCCATGCAGGAAATTTTGGCATCCAACAACATGGCTTTTTGTCTTCTCCCTGCTTACCAAACTCAGCTTTTTTAAGTTTCACTAACGTTTATTTTATTTTAAAACTTTAACTGTCTCCTCTTGTTTTCCACTTCCAGCTAGAATAAACGCAGTTAGTTTTAGTACATAAATTGAGCTTGCAAATTGTTAATTATTTAAGTTAAGGCTTTTAGCTAAGAAGGAGTTAGAGAGAGAGACTGCTTGCTACCTTATCTCATGCGCACTTTTCACAGAAATTTAGTCCTCTTGATACTGAAGATGTATTGTAGTTTCCCAGCATTCTGCGTACTATACACGTAAAGATTAAAACGCCAATCTTAGTGTTACTATTCTTTGTAAAGTATTTGAGTTTAGCTCTTATTTAAATTTAGTTAGTTCTTATTTTTTACATTTCAGACCATAAGTACTAGTCTTTGTATCCCGAAGTGCGGGAGCAGCTGTAAACTGTGAAGAATAAAGGGTAGTTAACCCCTTCCCATGTGTGTTGTATCTTCTACACTTTCTGGAACATAGTTTTTAATAAACTCCTTGTTCTTATCCAGGACTCCAACATGTTTTCCAAAGCAATTAGAAGAAATAGTAGTCCTGATAATTTGACTATGGGATTGACAAGGTAACTAATGTTAAGGTTCTAGTAAAACATACTTTAAAAGTTATGAAGATGTAAAACATGTTAACACACTTTAAATATATTAATGCATCTCATATATGAACAATTAAAAATGCATAAATCTCACAGTAAGTTTGTATCCCAGCACTGAATGTTTAATTTTTTTTTTTTTAAATTTAAAATCATAGTTTAAGAAAAAAAATGTTCAAAATTTTACGTAGACTTAAAAACAAAAAATTTTAGAAATCTACATACTTTCAACGGTGATATTTTTCATTCAGGTGAAATTTTTCTCAAGGGGATATCACAGTGTTGAAGACTGAAATTCCAATTTAAAAAAATAGGAACTAAATTGGTACAAATGAACAAGAAACTTGCAATCAGTTCAAAATCATACTAGCTATTTTGATTGCAGTTAACACCTATAAAGCATACCTTTCCTCCAAAAATCATTATTTTAAAACATTTATTAATCATATTTTTAAAAATATATTATAAATACAAATGTCGAAAATATTATATCTGTAAGTACAATGTTACGCTAATCTCCTTTTTTTTTTTTTTTTTTTTTTTGTGTGTGTGTGTGTGTGAACATGTATTTTATTGCATTTAATCGATTGATAAGAAACAAATCTTAATTATGATGTAAATTTTTGAAATTGCAGATTTCAGTAACTTAGCTGAATAACTTGAATAATGTGGTAAAAAAAAAAAAAAAAAAAAAAAACAGCGAACAGGTTATATAAACTATATAGCTAGTTCCAATTTAGGGTTTAGAATGGGTTTAAGTAAAATTTAGCAGAAAATTAATTGCAAGTAAATATTGCTCCCCATCACCTCAGTGTTACGGTCCATACTGTCAAATGTTTCATTGATCCTATAAGGGTAAAAATAGACATAAAAATTAAACTTTGTAACATTCCATTTCTAATCTTTAATTTGTAACATTCCATTTGTAATCTGAATAAGGTTACTTTTTAATTTTAAGAAAATTTTAATTTCTCTTTCATCTTGTCTAACACTCTGATATAACTATGCATATTACACGACTAAACATATCTACATGAGTCATATAATGCAATCCTTTGGAATGATGGTTTTAGTTAGTGGTACACTGATTTCATTACTTTTCCATCACACTATATCATGTTTGTAGGTTAGCATCTTAATTTTTGGTAAAACGTACTTCATCAAACAAATATGTAACTTTCATATATTTGTAACTCAATGTTTTATACATATCACTTTTAGCATTTCTTCTTCTTCTTTTTTTTTTTTTCAGAAACCAATTTGTATTATGATATGCTTAAAATTCCTATTTCACATTATTTGGGAAAAAAATTCGCATTTACAGATTAAACAAAAACAAAAGAAAGCACATAATGAAAGCACATATGAAAGAAATCTAATAACTTGTGAAATCATTCGGTTTTAGTCTTTTTAGAATGGTTTCAAACAAAATCGATATAAATACTATATTTACGGAAATGATGCTGAGTTACATCAGAATTTATATTTAATATACCATAATATGTTAAGCCACAAATTTTTAGAAACAACTTACTGTGTCTTGATAACAATAAAAGGTGCAATTAATTTTATAAAAAGTGAAGGAAGAATATCTGCCAACAATATTGCCTAAAAAAAAGGAGGTATACATTTTAAAAAATTCAGTTCAAATACAAATTAAAATTGCATTTTAGTGAAAAGTTATTATTACACTAAATACTTATCACATACTAAGGTCATAAGCAAAAGGTAATGATCAGCTCATGAAGAAAAATAAACATTGGTGCATAAAATTTACTACATGCTTATAAAACAGCTCTTTACAAAATTATTCAAGGTAACTAAGTGAAATTCATTCAGATGAAAAGTGACACTTCAAAATAAAATTTCATGATCAAGAATTTAAAATATAATTTCAAAAACAGGGGCACTTCAAAATACTATTTCAAAATCAAGTATACATAAGACAAGAAATCGAGTTGTACAGGCCCCTTACAATCAGAAAATTAAAAAATATTGACTTAGTTATTAGGACGTTTATTCCACTAAAGAACGAACATTCGGATTCCTTCTTCAAAAAAGTCATCATGTTCAACAGACAATCAATTGAGATGATTGCCTAACTCCAAGTGAACTACAAAGAACTTCTAATAATCATTATGCATTATCTTAAGTTAGGGCTATAAAGGGATGTTCCAATGCTTCTTAGAAAAACTGCTTCAAGAGCTCATATATGAGTTTGTGCATGCACTGATGTCATGCAACGGAGCAATCCATTTACTCAATAAACCTGACTTCTTCCCTTTGACTGCCATATGCAAATGGTTTACTCTTTCATAGATTCTCACAGTTTTGCCATCTTTCAAACATATAAGATTTTTATCATGGCTTTAAATGCCTCTGTTGCAATCTCAATTTGGAATATAGTAATATCCCAAAGTTATGCAATAAATGTGAATGATAAAAAGTGCATAAGTCGGGGGTCTACCTTTGCACATAAATCCAAATAAATTTCGATTAAATAGGGCTAAGAGTTTGGAAAACAAACTTGTTCAGAGAAAAGTATATAATAAAGTAAGTGGTTTTCATAAATATCAGTACAATATAGTATTAAAGTAAGCATGCCGCAAAAATGGAGCTCTAATATACAAAGTTTATACATGACTAATGCACTACTACAACATTCTGAGCTCCAGCATCATTGAATACATTTGTATGATTCTACATCTTTTTATTCTATTGAATCTTACATTAGTTAAAATTCGCATGACAAATTTAAAAATAAAATATATAATTAAATATTGAGAAAATAAGTGAAAATGGTGTCTGTAAAAAAATTGCATGATTTAAAAAAGAACTATATTTTTACAATTTTTTTCTACTGAATACAATGTGCCTACAATTCAAATACACATTTATGGCTATAAGAGATGAAACTAAGCTGGATAAAAGCAATCAAATAATTCATGAAGCCATTAACTTTAAATACTTGTTAGCAAGATTTTGAATAAAACCTACTTAATAGTATATACAGTCAAAAGTCGTTAATTCGGACACCCATAATCCGGACCTCAAAGCTAAAATCTTTCTGCGCATGCGCCGCGTCGACGCATGCGCATAGGCGTTTTACGCGTGCGCGCAAGACATTTACGACTGCGCATATGCGTCTGCGACGTTTTCGCGTGCGCGTTTAATGTATAACGGACGGTATAAGCTAAAAAATTATTTATCTAATTATCTATTTCACTTAATGTTGATGATTGCGTTGTTCCTTAATCTTCGAATTGGATCCGGCTTATTATTTTTTGCAGACTGTAAGAGCAATTTTATAAAAGTAAGCTTGAACTTTCGATTATGTCAAATAGAATTTCCGATGCTGGAGCTCCCAAAGGATCTAGAAAACGAAAGTATGCTTCGATGTCCATCAAACAAAAAAACGAATTGCTACAAAAAATGGATAAAGGCATATCCTTTGTTTATCTAACCGTTCCAAAATCTGTTTATCAATTTCACGCTGCTCTGCGCGGAGGGGGGGGGGGACGTTGCGGCGCACAAAGAACTGGAAGTTGATCTGTCAGCACTATCGTTATCTTCAGAGCAGATGTTTTTATTTTATTCGGCTTATAATTCCTTACTAAATGTAGTATTTAATTTCGATGTGTACTCCGTCTTTGATATGATTTAAATCAAATTCCTCGTCATTATAAATATCACGAATACAAATCAAATAGTTTTCTGGTTGCAATTTTCTAATTTCGGCTATGCGTAAGGTATGCTTTACGCATGCGCACGTTGAAAGAAATGTTTAAAGTAAACAAATAAATATTAAGCTTCTTTTTTTTGTAAATTTTTATACCCTTTAGATCATAATTGCTCATTATTTTATAAATTACGGTTTCATATTTTTAATTTTACAATTTCTGCATGCCATCTTACCAGATTTAAACTGATGATCTATAATCCGAATCGCCGAAGTCCCGACGAGTCCGGATTAAAGACTTTTGACTGTATTTTAAAAAAATTACTGCGTTACATCGTGATTTGATTCACTGAATAAGGGTCCACATGATTTTCAAGAACATTCTAATAGGCAGGATACACGTATTTCACTTTACTGACTGAAAAATCAAGAATATAAAACATTTTACTGAAAAATGTACTGAAAGGGGCACTTTGAATTTCTTATGTGTGGTATCTAACCTTTGGTCCTATTGTTGTTTTATCTGCATAATTATTTGCAAAAATAATTTAATTAAATAAAACAACTACCTTAAAACAATAATGCTGACTAACACATCTGAAATAAATACAGCTACTGTCGTTATCTTGTGTTTGTTTTTTCTAAACCTATTCTTAAATATTCAGCGTACAAAACATATTGTGCAGCCCGTAAAGATCTTAAAAAAGGCCCTTGCATGCGTAAAAGTAAGCCACCACTGGGGTACATAACCACCTATAACTAAAGCACAATTGTTGTAAATAGATTTCATATCAGAGAATACAGTAATATAAATTAAAACCTAAGTATCAAGTTTCACTTCTTTACTGAAACTATTTTTAGGACTTTATGGTTTCTTGGAGGAAGCTGACATACTGAAATGAATCTTTCTCCTGTGTCCTACATTTTCTATTGCATTTAAATCAACAGATTTAGCTGGCTGTTTTATTCTCTGGATTCATTTGTTTTCAAGAAAAATCAACCACTTATTTAGCTCTGTACAATCAAGTATTATAAAAACAAAGAATCAAAGCACACTCTGAATAGACTTAATAAAGCTCTATCACTCATCTCTATGTAACCTGACAATGAATTACAGCTGTCTGACTTCAACATTTCAAAATGTCATCTAGTCTTTTCAACGTTATGTCTTACAGTCGCCATTACAGTTGTGCATGGTGGACATACTTGTTAAAGATCATAGCACATTCTGTTTGTCAAACTAATTACAAATTTTAGTGATTTCATCTTTATACTCTAAGGAATCTGTAAAATAAAGTTACTTGTGTTATGCTTCATCTTTGTTGACACTGCAGTTTCAATAGCCAGCAGAGTAATTTCAGAGTTTTAATAAACACCAAATTTTCCTTATCATCAATTTACAAGCAGAGCTGTAGCCAGGTTTTTAGTGCCCTGAGGGCAACTGAGGATTACAGGCCCCTCCTGTTTGCCGAGAGTGGAAAACATTTCCTTCTAAAAATTTGTAACATCAGTTTGACATCCACCAAAACCAGAAGACAAATGTCCCCTTTGCCCCCCCCTCTACTTCTGCCTCTGTTTAACAGATTAAACACAAAACAATATGAATGCAACGATGGGAGAACTAGGATTTTTTGAAGGCCCATCATCAAAAACATCGATGGCGGAGAAAAAAGAAAGTTACAAACATATTGCCACCAGCTGAAACGAAAAAAATCTGCAAGTTTCACCAGCATGAAGAAGGAGATGGAAGAATCATTTGCAGTAAATGATTCAATCACTATTGCTGTTACTGAAACAAACAAGATAATTGTAGCAGCTACGAACAAAAAAGATGTGGCTACAGAGGGACTGAATTGTTAGGCTATGGCAAATAATATAAGAGCTATCTGCCTAGAAGGATGAATGCATTTGCAGAGGATTTTCTTCAGGGAAATGGCTCGTATCCATGTCGCATATGGTGAAGACACGAAAGCTTTTATATAGCTTCCTGTTTATTTGAACCCGTGTCGAGCGTTCAGCAGTTTTACAACTCAGCTGCTGAGGGACCTATATTATAGAGCAGGGACTGGTAACCTTGTAGCTGGGGTATGCCAAACCAGTCTATAAATATAATTCAGGATGCCGCACAGCAAGAAATATTTGAAACAATTCGATTCCCGCAGCATTGCATGCAGAGTTAGGAAATAAATGTCAAGAATACAGATTTAGAGTTCTATTTTATATTAATTATGCATCATTTAAAGATATTTATTAATATTAAAATGAACAATATAAAACATAACTATTCCTTCAACTTAAATAAAAAATTAAAATTGCACATATATTATGTATCTTTTAAGCATATTTATTAAAATAAAAAATAAACAACATAAACTATAAGTATTCCTTCAATACAGTTAAATAAAAATTCAAATTTTAATGCAGACCTTGTCCCTGCACTGTTCTACTTAACATCGCAATATCAATGGTATAATTTGTGACTTTCAATTTGACACATGATTCTGAATGTTGTTGTTAAACAACTTTTTTACAGACTGAGAATGTAGTCTAAAAACTTGTTGGGGACTTGTTTTTCATATGCGAAAAGACTTGTTCACGTAGATATGTAGAACCAAAAGTGGAAAGCAGATCACATGCAATTTTCTTCACACAATAAATCTCTCCGGTAATAACATCTAGAAATTTAAAATAGCTGAGGATTTATCGTCAGAGTTGTCTTCCAGATTTTTTTCGTAATTTTCATTTCCATCATTCTAAAGATAATAATTCAATAAGATCTATTTCAAACTTATCAACTTCCATCCACTTGAAAACTGAGAAATCAGATGGGATTATTAATGGGTCTATTAAATCAGGTTTGATTAGGAAGAAAATATATGCATACAAGCTACAAAGCTTTTGCATCTTTTGGAAAATTCTTCCTAAAATCTTTCAGTGCAGATTTCAAGTTCATCTTCATCTATGGTCAATGTATTTGCAAGCGTTGTAATATTTGGGAAGTATTTGCAGATACTAGCATTAATATCGGAGGAAAATATACTTAATTTTGTAGCAAAGACTTTCCAATATTCTAAATGTTCATGCATTGCTTGGCCCTTTCCTTGCAATCCTTAGCTCATTGAGATTTTACGTTATACCAGTCAGAAACATCAATTAGCATAACCATTCTTTATAGTTCAATTCGGGGAAATAATGTTCCTTTCTATTCAGAGAAACTTTAATGTGTTCCATGCAAGACACAGACTTATTCAAGACATTACCTCGACTTATTACTGTACAAGATTACTGTACAAGAGGGCATCCACATATTCCCTTTCCATTTCTCCTAAATAAGATTTAAGTTGCCTGTATAATCAATGAAGAACAAGACACTATGAAACTAACTATTTTAACAACAGTGTTCATTACAGAAATGAAGCGCTGTGACGAAATTTTGGTAACTAACTTTCCTGATGTATTATGCAATGGAAGTTCAGTACTTTATGTCCAATATGATTTTCAGGAAGTTTGACAAATCCTCTTTCCTTGTCAACCACTGCAGGAGTGCCATCAGTAGTTGCATAAAATATTTTATTTATATTAATGTTTTTACTTTCAAAATAATAAATGAATAAAGAATATTCTGTCCGTTAGTTGTTCCAGACAGAGGAATAAAAGTGTATAATTCTTCATAATAAACATAATCTTTATCACAATATTGTGCAATTACTACAAGGCACGGAACATCATTCACATCGATACGTCATCAAGAGTATCGCTAAATGCAACAGTTTCTTGTATTCAAGAATTCTGTTTTATTGTTATATTTTCTGTCATTTGAGTTAATTCGACTTTCAATGGTTCGACACAAAAGCCGGTATAGATTTGGCAAATCCTGAACAATGTTTCAAAACTTTTTTAAAAAATTGCACTCTATATATTAGCCATCTGTAAAACATTTGTATTTTGCAACAACACAATGCGCAATTACAAGACTACATTCGATCGCTTTAGGTTTGGTTCCATTTGTTTAACAAAAATATGTAACTATCCAAAAACAGCTCTTTTTATAACTTCGCATTTCTCACTGGAATTCTGAAATGTGGACTGATGTTTAGTTTGAAAATGTGTTTTTACACTTGACATGCAACATACATATTTATAGCAAGATCCTTTTGTTGTACAAATTCATATTCAGTCATCCAAGAGTCTTTGAAACAACGAACATCAAGCTTTCGTTTTTAGTGGTCAAATGATTAAATATGTAGGTATGAATTGTCACAATACTTGAACAAATAAAATATTTTTCAAAATAAAGCTAAGAATGAGTCCTAAAGTTAAAAGTAACCTATAGTTCGCATCGTTCTTCAAACTAAATTCTACTTTCAATTGAAATCACACTCAATAGTCGTGTATCAGTGCGACGAACCAAACGAAGGAGATAAAATGCATGAGGCGTGATGGCGCAGATAAGAGATATGGGGAGATTTACCTGCTACTGAGAATGGTACAGCATGCCAAATCAGGCATGCGTGCCATAGGCTGCCGATGTCTATTAAAGAGGGTAAATTCAACTGAAGGAACTCTTGAAGTAAGAACTATTGTTAAAGAAATAGAGACATACTAGTATGGCTTTAGTTCATTGAATTTTCTCTCTACAAATTTTATACATCCAGCATTTTCTGAAAGCTGAAATCTACACCAAAATGCAGAATGCACTCCAAAGTTTAACAGAAAAGACTTCCATAATGCCTTTGTGTGTTTTTGTCTGAAAGTGGAGAAAGGGTGAAAATCTCGCAAAGAAAAGTACTTGTTTAGGTAAAGGTGCACTTAAAAATATCTTCGTGAGACTGGCTTTTAAGAAATTAAAGATGATTCATAAACTAGAGTTTCACAGCATCTAATACTTAATGAAGCAAGAAGAATCAGTTTTAGTATTGGGGCTCAGGAAATAAATTCAGGAGTGACAGATCCACCAATGGGGATGACTGGAAGAGCTCTGTCCCACCACTTAACAAGAAGTCAGGCATTTTGTGCACATGGCGTTGGTGTTGGTGTATTTAATTATGGCAAAGCACACTAGGGCTATCTGCCTAAGAGGAGGGATGCCTTCCGTGGAGGACTTTCTAAGGGAAACTGGCTCGTATACACGTTACACATGGGGAAAACCACGAAAACACCCATGCAGCCAGCCCGTTCGCGGGATTCGAACCTCGGACCGAACTACCAGTGTTCAGCGACTTTACCGCTCGGCTGCTGGTGGGCTTGTGCACATGGCAATGATGGATCACACAGCAATAACAAAAATCCTTGCCCAAGAATTATGGCTTGTTCCACAGCTTGTGTGAGCAAGTAGCATTTGATGCTGTCAGCAACGGAAAAGGATTTTTTGGATGGCATCCTTCCTGCGATTTACCACAGATTCCACACAAAAGACTTATTTGTTTGCAACAGTACTTTGAAGGCTGGATATGGACTAATGAATGGAATGATGTTTTTTTAGGCAACTTTCAATTCTGCCTGCAACAACACCATGTTCTTATCCGAATCTAAGAACACCAGTGACTACCTAGCATTATGCATTTCTATAATGCTTTGTCACTTAGAGCAATGGTTTAGGGTGTCATGAATTTTATTCCTGCATCTGCTAAGAAAAGGCTTGCCTGAGGCCAAGTTTCAACAGGACAATGCAAGAAATATTTATAGGATCTTACTCTTTCTGGTCACATAAACTCTACTAGATCCTACCAAAGAACACGGCGACTTCTCACACAGGCGTGAAATACCAGCACAGAAGAAGGGTGAAAATAACCCTTTATTATTCTCAACTAAGAATAAAAGGACACATACTTCGTGCTTCACAATAACACCGACAATTTGCGGTGGAACTTAAGAATTGTAACACAATAAATTCAAGTCTAAAGAAGCAGTGCTGGACTAGAACTTTAAGTTAAGGCTACTTGGGTTGACTTGACTCCATATACCGCATGATAATTATTCAAATATCCAAAAGGCGTGCCAGTAACTCCGCGTAAGAGCAAGGTCAGAAAAGTAATGTGCGCTGGCTAACGAAAACACACTCTGAATAAACTCGAAGATTCACTCGTTTAAATACTCACGTCACTTAACTTTAAATTTACATCCTGGCGAGGAAATGCGAGGGGAAGTTGAAGAGTTCAGGAAAGAACAAAAATTTGAATAATCGGTTAATTTAAAGGAACCCTATAAGGAAGGAACCCTCTAAGGGAAACCCTATACATTCAGTAATTGTTCGTTGCCCATTAGGTTGCACTGCTGCTTTGGCTTGCCTATTCCCTCAATGCCTTACCCCTCCAATATATCCGCTCAATGTAACAAACAATTGGCTCAGTATATCATATTTTCGTCTATGGCAGATAAACTTTGGCATCCATCCAAATACTCCTTCTTTCAATGCCGAGGTACACAAGCCTAGCCAAGTACACTAAATACCGATTTAAATCTGAATTTCTCAAGTTGGACAGGCCTGTAATTTTAATAAATTCACCTTTGAGCCTCATATTATTTGTAGTAAATGTGGCCTCAATATACCTTATCTTTCATGGTGTTGCAGTTTAGAAGGTGGTCGGCAATGTACACATTCTATATGTTTATACATTAAAAGAATTCAAATGCTCGAACACGCCTATTTCGACATCATCATTATACCCATTACTGAAAACATGCTTTACACTACATACAGAACATTTTACACGTATACAGCTATTAATTTTTAACACAGTAGTCAAAATTCATTACAATATATATATATATATATATATATATATATATTAAAATTGCTGATACAAATGTATCAGCAATTTTGCAAGAACTGCAAAAATCAGTCTTTCGGTTCGCAGATCAGATGTTGTGAATGACGATATACAGTAATAAATAAACAATACTTTCGTACCCCAGTAGAGATTGGATTACATCTTGTTACATTACTTTCATTACGAGTTACAACCTGAAATAAAATACAGAATATTTAGTATATTTATTTAAAACAGAACAACACTGAAAACAATTCAAAAATAAGAGAAAAAATTTATTTTATTCTTCTATTAATAAGAAATGTAGAAATATTTGGTGAGATGGTATTTTACTGCGATCTGCAAAGATCAAAGAACTCAAAATACACTGGTTTGCAAAACTTAAGCAACATATATTCTTTTTGCCATATCTACACGAGAAATCATCTGAAAATCATGAAATTCAGAATTATGAGACAGAATTTTGTATTCAAACGTTGAAGAGAGCATAGTTGCGCAAAAATGAATAAAATGCATACAGTATGGAATCAAACAAACAGAAGGTTTATTGAACTCATAGTATTGTTACACATTATTGTCTGTACAAGAGGAAGAACAACAATCAGATGTTCCTTAGAATGGGATGTGACCTGCAATAGTTGCTTCGCATCGTCTCTCCATACTCAGCGCCAGATTGCCGAACAGATTTTGAGGTAAGAATGCCCATTTCTCAATCAGCATCTGTTTCAGTTGTTGGGTGTTCCCCGCAGCATGTAATCGTTCCGCAAGGCGTCTCCTCCTCAAAGCATCCCACACATGTTCTATGAGATTTAAATCAGTGGAGTACGCTAGACCATCCACTCGAGTGTTATCTTCACTTTCCAGTAGCTTCTGAACAGCAGGAGTCCGGTGTGGCTGTGCATTGTCATGCATAAAATCTAAGTCTGCTCCAATTGCACCTCGGAACATACGCACATGGGGAAGGATCACCTCCAGCGATCTCCTGTTACAGACCCTCTGTCGAAAACGTGGAGCTCAGTTCGCCCGTTCAGCACAATGCCTCCCCAGACAAAAACTCCAGTACCACTATTACGGTACGGTGTCTTTCCTTGATGTTACTGGGATAAAACCGGGTCTCGACCTCTCTCCAAATCAAAACGCGTTGAGAATCGCTTCTGGTACCGAACCGACTCTCATCCGTAAAGAGGACACGACTCCATTGATCAGTTGTCCAGTTTTTATGCTCTCTGCACCACTCTAAACGGTGGCGCCGATGGCCAGCTTTCAAAGGGATGCAGCGTTCAGGACGGCGGGCGAATAGGCACCTTTGTGAAGGCGTCTGGATACAGTAAAACCTGACTTTTGTCGCCCCGTTGCTGCACACAGTTGCTGAGCTATGGCGCTTGCTGACTGGTTTCGGGCTCTTTTAGCCTGCAGGACGATATATCGGTCATCCACTGCAGTTGTTTTCCTGGGGCGACAGCCACCAGCCTTTCTTACAGCTGTACCTATGGGAAGGATTTCCAAGCGCGTGAAACGACACTTTTGTTGATTTCGAACTCTTCAGCTACACTGGTCACACTAAGCCCCTCCTCCAGCTTTCCGATTATTTTTCCACGTGTGAAGTCCTCCAGGTGATTTCATCTAGCCATATTTCTTGAAAGAACTCACCTGCACTTGCAGCGAATACCTTTAATTGCGTCTCCGTCCTTCCTTTTAGTTGTAGTCTTGAGCTGAGCGCGCCGACCGCACTCCTGTGACGTTTTGTTCCTGACATTTGCATATGCATGACCTTTCTACTGAATTTCCTGTTCACTGTACTGATCGCAAGAACCCCTTTTCTGCAGTTTCGTGGCTATCTGATTTAAATTTACATTGTTGCTTAAGTTTCGCACACCAGTGTATTTATCGTGGAATTTACATTCAAATTTAAATAACTTCTGAAATAAAGGAAGGCAGAAGTTTTAAAATTTAAGACGGTAGAATTTAGAAACAACAAAAAATTGCACAGGGCAGCAAAAAGCATAGTGCCGACCCTGGAAGTATATGTTTTGATTTGGCTATAAGTTAAATCTGTTTCCCATTTTTGTTTCTTTGGCTCTATAACTTGTAAGAACGCTAAAAAAAAATCATTAAACAAAATCATCAGATCATGTAACCTACAAGAGATGTTTATGTCTATAAACAGATAAGAGTTTGCTTCTGCAAGTATTGATAACGATATGATAATGAGTAAAAATAGTCATGAACATAATTAAGACAATGCGGTTTTGCAGCTGAAGATGGTGGTTCGGTAAAACCATCGAAACTAGTCCTGTGAAAATTTTGTAAATATAACGCTGATTTTTGTTGTTTGACTTCTGAATTGGTAAGTCATGAACATGTTATAAATAAACACGAGCTTAAAAATAACGAAATATAAAACAAACAACAAAATTAAAAATAACAAAAAATTAAATAAAATATAGTGTTAAAATATGCAGAAATTATATCTTGGGTTCCAATTCCGGAAAGTGTTCTGCAGTGAGCTGTAATATCGAATTCTAAATGAGGAACAATGAATACATTTTAGTAAAAAATACATTCATGGCTGACAAACAAATTTATTCTGCACATTTTAACTTTCATGAACATATAAAGCTAAATGATACAAGAACACATCGAAAAAACTTGTTTCACATGCTCTAAAATTCATATATATTTCAAAATTGCAAATTTTATTCCATAATAAAGTACTGATCCTTAAACCCACTTGAATATGTATCTAACATTATTGGAAATGTTAAAGCAACAGGCATAATATAATCAGCATAATATTCATAAATTTGCAAGACAAGTTTCGAAAGTTTAAATGTAGAACCTACTTCCTCATCTGCAGAAGTGCAAATGATGAAAGAGAAGCCTGTGCTCAGGTAATAACAATGACAGGAAAAAAGTCACGCTACTGTTACTATCTATTGATGAAAATGAAAGCAACTATGAAGTAATTTCCTTAAAAGCTAAGGGGAAAGATGAAATGGAATTGGGATTGTAAATTAGAATTGAAAGATCTTTAGGCATGTGAAACGCCTCTAGAAAAACTAACTCACCAAAGGAGGTTGCTTTTTGAAAAATTTAGGCTGTAGAAAATTGAAAATGTGATTTTCTGACACCAGTGTTCAGTAAAAGATGATTTATGAGTTTCTTTTTCCGTAACATATGCCTAATATTCCTTAGTGCAAAATTGTAAGGCTGTCTTGGTTTGATCAATGTAGATTATATCACACTGGCAAGGAATCTATAGACCTCAGAATTTCATATCCGGAACGACGCTGTAGGATAACCTGGTGGTATGTTCGCTCATGTCGCCATATATTAGCAGAGTCTGTTTCATGGAAGTCGAATTCTCTACCACTAGCGCAAAAGTTCCATGCGCTAGATTCAAGAATTTGCATCCTTCAAATTCGTGAGCGTTGAGTAGCTCTTGAGATTGCTACAACTCCCCTCCCAAGCATTTCTGATACGATATGAGGAGATACGCCTGGTCACGCCTGGTCGTTGGAGATACGCCTGGTTGTTGGATATGAGGAGATACGCCCGCTTTGGGGGCGTGGTTGTGAGCCCAGTGGGTTGATGGTGTGCCTGCGACTTCCCTGTGTGGGCGCGCTCAGTTGGCTACATTGATGCATGGTGCAGCATGGTAGAGAGAACCTCGTTTGTTGGCATGTGTAGTGTATCGCTGTTAGGTTTTGAGGTGGAGCATATGTGAAGGAGCGCTTCGGCCATACGTGACACAATTCGTCATTTGTCGACGACGAAGATCATATGCTTTGTAATAGTGTCAGAGCGCGAAGCGCTCTTTTACTATGTTTCATATATGCAGGCATATCAGGAACTAGAGTTCGTTAAGCGAGCTGTCCTGAGACTGGTGTTTGAGTTTTAGAATTGAGGTAGAGCCGTTCTTTCAATCGGCGAGGCGGATGGTGGCAAAGCCACACTAGTTTAGCAGTGACGTGTGAAAGGTAATTGTAGTAATTTTGTATGAGTGGTAGCTGTAGTGACGGTAGTGTCAGTATTAATGCCGGTGTTAAGGGGCAAGTATATGTGCTGGGTACCTGTGTTTTTCAACAGGGATTCGAGTATATCGAAGGTTTGATATTTCTGGATTATGATGAAATTGGACTGATTGAAAGAAGTTGGTGGAGTTAGTCATTTGTCCTCAGTGGGTAAAGTGTGTATAGCTCTCCGTGTCGCCATCTATTAGAGCCAATGAGAAGTTCGCTTGCCCTTGAAAATGATAATGACCTTGGGCTTCAATTCTGGGTCACTTTCATGCCAGTTGAATTCTCTACCACTAGCGCAAAAGAGCTCTCGTGCGCTACGTTTAAGAATTCAGACTCTTTCAAATTTGCGAGAGTTGAGTGGCTCTCGAGATCGCTACAGGGCCTTTAAGTATGGAACTGCGAATTTTATTTTGATAAAACAGAAACTGACCCGAAAGTCGAATTTCTCTATGATACATGCAATTTTATAAGTAATGAATGGAAAGAAATGAATGACAACAGAATCTCTATAATCGCCTAAAACAAGAAAGTGCTTTTGATGTGTTGAAATGAGAATTTTAGAACCACTTAGTCAATAATATTAGATGAAAATCCTCTATCATAGAAATCAAGCATACAACTTATTCTATTAATACATTTCTTCTGCGCATTTTAACTCTCATGAATATTATAAAGGTAAATGATACCGGAACAGTTAAGAAAAACTTGTTTCACATGCTTTAAATTTCCTAAATCTCTCAAAATTTCAAATTCCCCTAACATTATTGACCGAGTTGTTAAAAAATTTCTGCTCTCAACACACCAAAAAGCACTCAATCAAGTATTGCAAGATTATAAGAAATTTGTTATCCTTTCTTTCTTTCCATCGATTATCTAAAAATTGCACGTATTTTAGATAAATGCAAATTTCGGGACGTTTTCTCTTTCATAAATAAAATTCTCAGTTCTGCAGCCAAAATTAGTCAAAAAGCATCTTCCATTGGTAAATTAGATCTCCATGAGGCGCCTCTCATACATAAAATTCTTTCAGTTTTAATTAACGATCTCCATTCCATTTCGTCTTCACCCTTAGCTTTTACCGAAACTATATAGAGACATAAGGTTACTTCGAAGCAGGAAGCATGAAAAATGCGCAATGCCCTCACTGGGACTCGAACCTCGGACCTCTCGAATACGTGCCGAGCGTGCGGACCATTACACTACGAAGGCATTGCTAAGAAGGCGGGAGAAATACCTTATAACTACTTCATAATTGTTTTCATTTTCCATCACTAGATTGCGCCAGAAGAGTAATTTCTTTTACCTCATTGTTATCGCCTCAGCAGAGGCTTATCTTCCATCATTTGTACTTCTTAGCTGAAGATGAAGGTTCTATATTTAAACCTTCGAAACTAGTCCTGCAAATTTATGAATATTATGTTGATTCTTGTTGTCTTAGCAATTCCAACAATTGTTATTCAGCGTGGTATTTCTACTCAGACATACCTAACATGTTAAAAGTTTTTCCTTTAAATAAGCATACTCATTACACTTTGCAGAACACACAAAGAGATAAGCGGATTTGGATTAATCAAATTCATATTTTACAAATATGTTTTTCAGGAAGAATGAGTAAACACAATTTTAGCTTCAAATATCAGAAAAAAAAACATTTACCTGTTCCTCAGATTTATGATAGTCGACATGCAAAAGATCATATGCGGCACTCAGCATAACAACATAAGCAAAATTATTGCATAGACCAAGAACCCTTCCAAGAAAAAAATTCAAATTAAGTTTAAAAATAAAACAGTAAATAACAGCTACGTGAATTTCTCTAATTTGCAGAAAAAATTACATCTCATAATATTAGGAAGATATATATATTAATATACATATGTATGATTAATGTAGATATAATAGCTTAATATATATAACAAATAATATATACAAGAATATAATAAATAATACATTGCTGATCATTAGAACTGCTACACCATGGAGGCGGTATGCAACAAACGCCATATTTGCATGAAAGACCAAGCTAAAGCGAGTGTTTAAGAGTTCTACAGAACAGCTTTACGTAACTTACCTACAAGGCCAAAGTTTTAAAGAAAACTTTAGGATGACAAATGAGAAAACGTAAGAATTTGACTATTTCCTGAATTGTTTAAATTTGGAACTGGTCTATTCAATTGGTAATGATTGAAATTGGAGATAATTTCTCAATTTTAAAGTTCAAAGTGAAAGGTCACTAATTATAATAGAGCGTGAAGGGGCTACCTGCAGAGGAGAGAAACCTTCTTGGGCAACGTTTTAAAAGAAGTGATTTTGATTTATACTTAAAGATACAATAACGTTCAGATTCATACTAGATATGATACAGAACATCTTTACATCACAAAAGCATAGAAACTCCCATGCAGCTAGATCAGTCTGCTAGAAATCGATAATATACAAAATTACAAAATGTTCAATATTTTTATCCATTAAAATAATCTACAAAGTTCCAGATGTAAATACAAAAATGAGAATTAGTTTTCAGATTTTGGAACACTGTTCGTGTTTTTCCTTTCTTCTGTTTTATGTCGTCATTACCGCGCCAGGAAAACGTTTTCGACTACGCATTGCTATTGTATTTTTCCATCGTCTAAGTGTACTCTATCTCTTCTGAAAGTTTGTAGCCGATTTGCTAAAGCATGCTATACCATTATGTTCTGATGCATTTGTATACGAATATGGCATAGGAATAGGAATAAGTTCTTCGGGTACTGCTGCTAATTTGTCTTTTTTTTTTTAATAAGAATTACGCGGATTCATTTAAATAACAGCACAGAGATAAATTGATGATATGTTAATTCTAATTTTCGGTCACCCTCAATTATATGGGGGTTAACGAAGGCTGACCTATATTCCCTAACCAAAACTATGAGTTCGACTCCCGCTGTAAGCCTTGACTGCAATTCTGTAATCTTCTCTTCCACCTCTTCGTGAGGCAGTATTGGTTAACCCCTGTAATGCAATCTGAACAAAGCTCTCGAGAGATGAGTTAGCTAAACGACCGATGGGTCCACAGTTGACATGAAAATACGATTAAATAAATGATTAGGTCTAATATTGGGAAACTGGTACTTTGGCAAAATCAGTCTCGTTGCTGGAGCTTTCTTTCACTTTGGACGGTTTGAGCTTGGCACAATTCCCACTAAGAATGGGACTATTCACCGCCGCCGTCGTTTTGACAGCATGCCATTTCACCGTCCGGCCGATTCGTCATCAGGACATATTTTTCTTTACATTGTAAGGTGTATTTTAATTTTATAATAGTTATTTTTAATTTTAAAACGCTTTCCCTTCAATTCTTGTTTCCCCATTTACAACTCCCTACCAGAATGAGTTTTTAGAATCGCGTTGAATATAAATGAGGCAAAAGGAGTATTTAAGGAAAGTTCAGCTTACTTCAGTAGGAGAGCTTAGAAGTCCATAGTGGCGCGTGTTTGCTGTCAAGCTACTTCGTTATTAAAACCAACTACGCTCGGCCTTATTGTACGTGCTTATTGATAATCGCTGGCTAATTTAACTAAGAACCAGTTACGTTAGGTATTTCTGTCTAGCCTCGGCTAAATCAGTTTAGTTTAGTATTAGATTAGTTTATTATTTGTCTTATCTTGCTTTGAAGCCCGAGTAGAGGCTTCCCTGTACGCCCGAGAAAGAGCTGACAGTGAGTATTGCTTTGAGTGAATAAAATTGTATTTGAAGTCTTCTCTAGACTTTGTCGTTACACTTGAACTCAGCGATAAGTCGCTACACAGTTAAATAGGTTCGTCTACATTCAGCATAGACCAAGTAGTTAGAAGCACAATATTGGCGCCCGAAGTATCACTGAACCATGTCTTTGGAATCTGGAAAATTTACGTTGGCCGCTCCTAGACTACAAATCTCGCCGGCACCAACGAACCCGATGGAAGGGTTCGGATTCATTATCGGAGACCATGCCGGCTGCGATGAAACCAACTGCTACCTTTGAAGGCAAAAGTTCCATTATGTCCTTTTTCGAGCAGTTGGAGCCCCACTTCACATTGCATCCTGTCCCAAAACTTCAAAAAGTAACAATTGACAAGACAAACCTAAAAGGACAAGCCCTCAGTTGGGTCAACGGAATCTGAAAGTTTCTGCTGGGCGAATCAAGTTCTGAAACATACAGCTGGGATACATTCAAAAAACGTTATCAGTTCTGAAAGACCATGCCAAGCTGGAAGCGGAGCTCTTTAGTAAATATGAAGTCAAGGCAGAAGAGCTGATGGTCTTGACTTTTACGCAAAATTTAAGCATTTAATCTACTTTAAGGTAAAAGGCCGGGATGGCGAATTAATAGGAGTAATTTTACTGCGTGTGCTTCCTTCTATTCAGGACTTCATACAGGTGCGAAATCCCCAGACGCTGGAAAACTTATTTCAACTCGCTATATGTTTGACAGCGGGCGAGCTTCAGATAAAACGCGTATGGCAACTTTTGGTCAAAACCAATACTCGAGATTTTCGGCCCAACAAAAGACCTCTCAAAACAGGCACTATCCGTACCGTCAGTCTAAGAAGACTAAAAAAGGCGGTAGCAAAAAGAAGGGTCAAACACTGTTATTTGGCGATCGCCAAAAGAAGCAGGGGGCTGAGAAGCAAAATAATTTAAACTAATTAGGGTGTCCGAGAAGAGGGTCCGGTCACCCTCCTTGAAACAAAATCTCTCAGAAAACAAATTAAATACTGTTGTACAAAATTTAGCCTCGCCTGAAATTCCGATATTACCGAACAACGTGCCTACCACTGCATTACTGAATACCGGAGTGTAGTGCAGCTTTTTGTCGAAAGAATTATTTAGAAAGCACTTTCGAAGGTACAGACTATTGAAAATCACGGAGCAAAAAGCAATTGCTGCACAAGGTAAACAGTGCGTGTGCTTAGGAAAAGTAGGCCACACATTCAAATTAAGAATGAGCATCAAAAAGTGAATTTTCTTGTGGTCAAAGATTTACTAACGTCAGTAATCTTGGGGATCGACTTTTTACGCGCAGCAAGCACGAACTTAAATATTAAGAATTCTAACTTACAAGTACAAATGAACAGTGTAGAAGAAGAAGTGGGAGCAGTTCCTGAAGTAGATTTGAATCAACTTGCCGGAAGATGACAAGAAGAAAACTGAAGCCTTGGAAAGAAATTTTTATAAACTTTTCAATGCGAAACCTGATTTTTGCCAGGCAGTCTCTCATGAAATCAATACGGGAGATGCTGCCCCTATGAAATCAAAACCTTTCTGGTACGATAAGGTGAAAGAAAGTATTATTGAAGACTATATCAAAGAAATATTAAGTAACAAAATAATTGCGAAAAGCAATAGCCCCTACGCGAGTGGTCTTATGCAGAAAGTGTGTGTATGTGATAATGGCAAAGCCTCGAGGGCTATCTGCCTAAGGGAAGGGATGCCTTCGTAGAGGACTTTCTAAGGGAAACTGGCTCGCATACACGTTACACACAGGGAAAACCACGAAAACGCCTATGCAGCCAGCCCGTTCGCGGGATTCGAACCTCGGACCGAACTACCAGTGTTCAGCGACTTTACCGCTCGGCCGCTGGTGGGCCTCTTATGCAGAAAGAAAAATGGCCTTCCAACTTCAGATTCAAAATCAAGCGTTTCGCACTGGACTACTGAAAATTAAATAGCATCACAAAATACCCAGTGTATCCCCTGCCGATTATAGATGAAATTATTCGAAAAATTAAGTTTACAACGCAGATTTACACAAGAAACTTCTGGAGAGCGTTGGGGGAATTAGTTAAAAGTATGAGTGAATGAAATTTGATTGAGGGTCAAATAAATGTGACGAAACGTAAATTGTGTGTAACAAAGCATATCTGTGTATAGAGTACTCATGCTTTTTCCTTTCAGATATACTGGAAGGACATACAAAAATACAAAACGTTTATGCAGTTCCAGCTAAGAAAAATGTAAAAATTTGTAAACAAATTTTCTTTTTCTTAGTTTTAACTTAGATTTAGATCACTTGGTAAAGTTGGTCCTAAAGGAGTTTAAACTCGGTTCTTGAAAATGAATCTGAAGAAGAGATTTAAACTCAAATTTTTACAAGTGCAGGTCACATTGAATAATTTAAAGTTTGAAATTTTAGAAAGTAAAGTTCGAGAATGTTTTTCTAGAATTTAAATCTCTCAACAAGGTTGTTGAGAGACCTTTTTGTTCGAGTAGCTAAATTCTGTTGGGGAAAATTGTAAGGTGTATTTCAATTTTATAACAGTGGATTTATTAATTATATAATATTGAAAGGAAAGGTTTTCAAAATTTAAAATATAATTTTGAAAAACTTTCCCTTCAATTCTTGTTTCCCACTTACAACTCCCAACCAGAATAAGTTTTTAGAATCGCATTGAATGAAAATGAGGTAGAAGGAGTATGTTGTGAGCTCCAAGATTTATATTTGTTAACGATATTCAACAGCCGTTGTTTAAATTCCATTTTAGACGGAGTTTTGTTTTTGTAGTTTGGCAACAGTAAGAAAAATTATGTTTTGATTTCCTTAAGTGTGTAAACAAATTAAGTTTGGCTTTCTTAAACAAGAAAATGTAACTGTTTATTTAAAATATTTCTTTTCAAGTATTATAGAATGGAGTCAGATTTTATTTAAAGGCGAGAACGACTGAATGAAATAATATACAGGTAGATTCAACGCAACAGAGCACTTATGGGAAGGTTCAGCTAACTTCGG